CCCCAAAACCCCAAAACCCCAAAACCCCGAAAGAAAAAATATATTGAATGAATCGTTATAATACTAATTATATTACAATAGCATCAGAAATAAGTTTCATTACCTGCTCAATATTTTATGATTCCAATAAAATCATTTATTGGCTTATGATTTGTAACTACTTGATATGAAGGTATATATTCCCATTTATTTCCAGTTACGCTAAATCTTTCACAAGTAAAATCTGTAAAGCATCCATTCATTGCATAAATATGACCATCTCTAGAATAAAAGACTCCTCCATCCAAAAGCCTTTCATTTCTCATAGATGCTTTTTTAATAAACTTGGCAGAATTAATATCTAAATTGTAGACTGAAGACTAAGGCTCATAGTCTGCAGTCATACCTCCCATAATCAAAATATTCTTTTTATCATAGGCAATTACTGCTAGTTTAGATAGAGGAGCCGGCAATTTGAAATAGAGAGATATCCATGTATCTGTAATCGCATCGTATTTTTCAATGTTGCTTAGAAATTGGTAATCATGAATACCCCCAAAAATATAGGCGTACTAATCATCTAGAGCACATGAAGCAAAATACACTCTTCCTTAATTCATATTGCTTATATTTTCCCAGTTATTTGCAGACAAGTTAAACTTCTCGCATTGGGAAAGAGTTAAGGTATTCTCTCCCGGGGCATCCTTGTGGCCATATCCTCCCAATATATAAACATTTCCTTTTATTACTAATGAGCAATGCCCATACCTCTTACTTATCATATTCTTTTTTTTAATGCTTTGAAACATATTAGCCCCATTAAATTCATATACAACTTGCAATGGCATGCAGGTTGATATCATTACCCCGCCAGTCATAAAAGATTTCTATTGCCCTATGTTACAGAAACTAAAACTCTTTATTCCACCCTAGAATTCACTGCTCTTCTCCAGTGCTTTGTTCTCCCATTCACCAGTACCCAACTTGAAATAGTAAACATCAGTTCTTGGACCATACAAATAAATTACATCTGTTATTTGGTCATCAAACATATGCTATCTCCCAATTTTTAGATTGGTCTAAACTTTTCCTGTGATCTAGTCAAAAGCATCAAATTTTTAGTCATTTTATTATGTCTTTCTTTTTGGAGCAGAAGTGAGTAAATTATTTGCCTAGTTGAATTCTGCTTATGAAAATTTCTAAGTTCTGTTTTGTTCGATTACGTTATTTAGTCTCTTTACATTATCCTAGCCTGGATTATCTTCATCGCCATCATCATAGCTTACATACTGATATCCTTGATTTGTATGATTTCTAGAATTCTAAGTTTATCCAGTTCCCACTCCTGCACCTCTTGTACTCTAATTTTTAGGGGTTTAAGATTATCTTGACCCTAAATTTGGTTATTACTCATTTTTGCTAAGTCTCAGATTTGAATTTCTATTTTATGTACCTCCTGAAGTCATTTCATCTCAAATAATCCTTCTTTTCTATTATTTTCCCCTTCTATTTATATTTTATTTTGATGCATCATTTACTTGATCTGAATTTTGTGTCGCATTTTCTGCATCATCTTCGTAACCACCAGTCTCATTATTTGTTACATCTCTCTTTTATTAAGGAGGCTTAGCTGACGACTTTTATCCAAGCTATCCAAGAGTAAAATTCTCCTTAATCTATTGAGAAGTCATCATTGACATAGGCACTCCACTGTCATTTTTATCCATAGGATTTGGCTGTTTTAAAAACTTTAATTCAAAAGCATTGAACTAGTCGTTCCCTGCCGCAATCATTTCAAATTTCTTGATTAGATCCAGTGCCTTTGTTGTGTTCAAATACTGAGGTCTGAATCCTGGCTAGATATAAATGTCATTTTTCTCCTAAAGTTATATTTTGGTGATGTTCTCAAGATCAGTGAAAGATTTATGTAAAAATGAGGTCACATCTTGAACTTTCATCAGTATCTAAGCAGCTGAGCTCTAATCAACGAAATTGATCAACTCCATAAATATCTTTTCAATACTCCCTATTTCTTCTTTGTTCCTTTCTAGATTATTTTGAATGGTAATCAATCTTTGATCTTCTCTTTTATATTTACTGAATTAATCGTTATCCCAAACTGAATCTTACTTTTCAAAGTCAATGACTATCTCATATTTTTTCTCTTCAAGTCTTCTTAATAAATCTTAAAACCCTTATTCAATGTTCTTAATTTGCTAAGCCAATAATTTATTCAATTCATCTCTTGCTTATTCTAATAACTATAAGTTATCTTAAGTCAGTCTCCTTGAATTCATTATCATTTTCAATAAATCAGTGATATTTTACTTGATTGTGTTGGCTATATAAAGGGTTATGCTAAGGTATTTAGAATATATTACACATTTCTTCAACTTAGACCAAGTTATGGCCATTATGTTCATCGTAAATGCATTTCACACAGACTGCTAAAGAACAAGCCTTGCAAAAGTATTCGATGGGCTTATCAGGATGCTTGCCACAAGGAAAGATATTAGACAACTAGACAGTGCCTGGATTCAAAAGAAGACTTAGCAATTTATAATTTATCCTGAAATCTTCAGCTTGACGATCGTCACCTATTGGAGTCTGGCATATTGGGCATTTTTTCTCCTCAGTATCTTCAATTATATCCTATATGCAAAATGAGCAGTATGTATGAGCACAGTCAGGTAGGATGCAAGGCACTCGAGACTCCTCATCAAATGGCTCATTACATCGATCGCAAGTCACTACGACACCTGCTCCTAACATTTAGGGTTTTTCCATTTGATTTCTATAATTAAACTTTCAGATTTTAAATTATTGATTTAATTCTAATTCCAAAAACAAATTATAAAATTAATTCATTTTCAATTTCCAAATTTTCTAAATGAATTATTTGGAAAATATATTTATGATGGGGTTTTGGGGTTTTGGGG